CTAATATTGTAATCTGGTGAAGTACAATAACAACCTCATAAAGTATACAGTTTGGGGTTTCCCCCCTTTATTTTCTCCTTCTACGCAGGTTCTATTTTTCTTTTTCTTTTTCTCTTTTATCTACGTCTCACCATGTTTAGTGTACATATAATTATGTACTTTTTGAACTTTCAATAAAGCTGTTTTTTAAAAAATCAAGCCTCTTTCCCATTTGCTTGCACCCACTCAGTATCTTTTCTCCCTTGTAAAAGACCAGTTAATTTTTCTGGGGCCAAACAGGATACTCCCCCCCCCAGCCCTTTTGTACTGAGGGTGAGAAATTACAATTAGCATGGATATCCCTCTTAATTTGATCAGGTTCAGGCTAGAATATGTAGGGAATTAATCAAATAAGCCAATAATAGGTGAGCACCCTGAGTCACCTGAATGGGTGATTGGCAGTTCCCAAGGCTCACTGCTCAGGACTGTGGACCTGTGAGCAGGATATTGCTCAACATTTTGGGTTAACCTGTCTTACCCACCTGGTGTTGTGGAGACCCACGGGGGAGACATCCCTCTTCGTCCAAAAATAAATGGATTTGGGAGCAGGATGGTGAAATCTCCCAGGTTAGCATCTCACACAGCCTGATTTGCACATCAGTGGGGCTCATTTCAACACATTTACTGGTGCCTCTGGGTGAGATTCCAATGTGAACTGGAGGTTTCCAAACCAGGATGGATACATCAGAAAAATAGGGAAACTATTGTAGCCTTATTGGAGTTCACCGATTGGGTCTGTGTTGCTCCCGGACAGGAGGAAGGAAGTCAAATGACACCAAGGGTTGGTTCAGAGAAAGAGTTCTTTATTTCTGCTCTCCAGAACAGCACAAAGGCACCTGCGTGGTGTGTCCACAGCAAGTCCAAAGAAATGAGAAATTTCATGCAGTATATATATCCTCCAGGCACCTTCTCCCTCCTTCCCCAGGAATCCAACCACGGCAGCCTATACACGCAGGTTGACATCACATATGTTCCTGCTGTGGTATTCTTAACCATAAAAGGGTATTCCTTCTGGTACTTCTGACCATAAAAGGGTATTCCTGTTCCTACTCTTATCTTGGAGCAAGAGGTCACCAACTCCAAGAACACACTCTGGCGCTGTTCCCGGACTAGGTCTGTGCGTCAGGATGTAAGATAAGACCTAGACATGTCATCCCTACTCCACTGGAACAGCCAAGGTCATCCTTGCCGTCACGAACTGATAAAGGAGAGGGCTCTGAGCACTTGTTTATACAGCCGGGTTTTTGTTTATACATTGACTCAGAGCTCAAGTTAATGGATTTTAGCTAAGGAAAAATAGGGATTTTGGTGCCTGTTTTAAACTGCCTGCACAGTCAGTTTTGGGTTTGGGAAACCCATTCCTTCACTATAACATGCCTTCTACAGAGTCAGATATTTGCTCCATTTTGCCCAGCATTGTCTACACTTACTGGCAATGGCACTCCAGGTATCTCTGAGCCTTACCTGAAGATGCTGGAGACTGAATCTTGGCTTGCTGATTGCTCCTAATCCACATACCCTTCAGATATTATCAGTGCCTTGGAATTATCAGTACCAGGATATTAGAGAAGAAGCACACCCTAGGAAATCTGGTTTTGCATTTAATTTAATTGGATGGGGAGAAAGATAATGTTTTCTTTTCATTCTATCCCTCTTTAGTTCTGAAACAGGAGAACAAAGAGAAATCCAAATGCCCACCTCCCATTTTAAACACTGTATGTACACAGAAAGTGTCAAAATGGCGGTGATGAAAAGTGTAGCCGTTGTTTATTTTCAGTGTAGTTGGGAGGTGGGAAAACATATTTAGAAGTCTGCTACAGGGCATTAAAATTGATTTCTGGTTTATCTGGTAGAGTCGAGTCCCTTGCCAAGCTGAGAAATAATTGATTGCTTGAAGCCCTGTACCGTGGTTAAAAATTGATAAATGCTAGGGCAGGGGCAATGCTTTATCAGGACTCCAGTGTAGTAGGACCCCCGTATCTCTTTCTCATCACCACCTTCAGATCATGAGGCAGAATTTAAAAGGTGCTTCGTCTTAATCTTGGCAAATTACATCCAGCAATTCCAAGTCTACTCCACATTGCTGCAGGCGTTGGAGGACCTTTGAAGTCAGATAATAACTGATTAGTAATTTACAAGTCCTGGACATCTGTTTAAAGTTTAGCAGATTGTTTGCCTTTTATTAGACACTCTAATTAAAATTAAAAAGGCCGGTGCCGATAACCATAATATTTTCAGTATCAAGCCGGAGCACAGCCTTTAATCTTCTGCAGAAGAATTGCAGGACATCTGTGTTCTCCGAACACCCCTATCCTCAAACTGCCAGAAGGATAGTGTCTTCCCCCCACTCTTATTCCACATCAGTGAAGGATTTCCCCTGGTGGTCCAATGCAGTATTCATTTTGTTTGAAGTAGCCCATCTCGTCCTGGCTCCTGAAGGAGACGTGTTAATAAGACCGACCCTTCCCCTTAAAGAAGAACTAAAAGAAGTATGGTTCATTTTGCAATGAAGCCGCTTGCACTTATTATGGAATGGCAGAGATTCCTACAATTATTCACCAGTATATTTTCTGGGCAGGGACGCAGGTGGCGCTGTGGGTTAAACCACAGAGCCTATGGCTTGCCGATCAGAAGGTTGGCGGATCAAATCCCCGCGACGGGGTGAGCTCCCGTTCCTCGGTCCCTGCTCCTGCCCACCTAGCAGTTCGAAAGCTCATCAAAGTGCAAGTAGATAAATAGGTACCGCTCCAGCGGGAAGGTAAACGGTGTTTCCATGTGCTGCTCTGGTTCGCCAGAAGCGGCTTGGTCCTGCTGGCCACATGACCTGGAAGCTGTACGCCGGCTCCCTCGGCCAATAAAGCGAGATGAGCGCCGCAACCCCAGAGTCGGCCACAACTGGACCTAATGGTTAGGGGTCCCTTTACCTTTTTATGTATTCTGGGCAGGCACTTGTAGAGCAAGTAGGAGTGCTGACAATAATATAGAAGGCAATCCTAAAACAGGGGCACTTGGAACTTATTTTGTATTTTATGTTTCATTTTTAACAACATTATTTACATTTAAATCATTTTCACATTTCACACATCTGGGATTACTTGAATCCCAGGACTCACCCCCCCCCCCCAGTTTCCAATATTTGTCTATTCTTTCTACTGCATCTAATTCCATTTTCCAAATTCGTTTTATATCCACTTTTAACTTTAACCTTATTACATTATAAGTGTTATAACAATCCTGCTAACGTTCTTAAATATCTACAGTGATCTTTAAGGTACTCTATAATTTTTTTCCATTCTTTACTAAATTTCTTCTCATCTTGGTTTCTGATATTCATGGTCATTTTTGCTATTTCAGCATAGTCTATCATCTTGGTTATCCATTCTTCTTTGGTTGGGACTTTCTCTTCCTTCCATCTCTGGGCAAAAAGCATTTTTGAGGCTGTCGGCACATACATGAACCATCTTTCCTAATCCTTTGGTATTTCATCACCTATTATTCCTAATAAGAAGCTTCTGGGTGGTGTTTGTTTGTTTGTTTTACAAAGGTTATCTTAAACATTTTTTCCAGTTCATTATATATCATTTCCCAACATTCTTTTGTTATTTCGCATGTCCACCACATGTGGTAGAACATGCCTTCTTTTTTCTTACACTTCCAACTTAAGTTGGAAGTGTTTCTATAATTTGAGATACTATATGTTATTCTAAATAAGTAAGTAAATAAATGCATACGTTTGCATGCACTCAAATCTCAGAGTGGCTAGAGACTCCAGGTGTGAATGAAGGTCAATGGAGGATATGACATCTTTAAATGGTTTTATTTATTCATATTCACAACTTAGCAGGGAATGGAAGAGCTCACAGTATTAACCTTGCTGTATTGCAGCAAGGCAACCTCTTAGGACATGTAAATGGCGGCACTAAACTGGCCAGATAAGACCGTTAACTTACAAATAAACTGTTCCAACCAGTTCAGTAGCCTCTTCTACTGGATTCTAAGCCTCTGTGGTACAAAATCATAAGCCTGGAAGGGATCCATGGATATAATCCAGACTGAATCTCCAGTCCTATAACCATTTTACCAATGTTTTCACTGGAAACCTTCTTCAAGGGCACAACAATTATGTGTGGACTTATTCCAGTAAGGCAACATCTTCAGATTACCATACCGTATTTTTCCGTATATAAGACACCCCCATGTATAAGACTATTTGGGGGACTCAGATTTAAGAAAATGGGGGGAGATGGCCCCGTGTATAAGATGCCCCCTAATTTTTGACATTATTTTTAAGGAAAAAAACCTAGTCTTATACATGGAAAAATATGGTAGATAACTATCTATAGAATTTAGGACAACACAGTAAACTGGTTTATATTTTTTTCTCCCTAATGTCTTAGATTTTTTTCCTATTTTCAGTATTTATTTATTTATTTATTTAAATAATAATAAAAAACAAATGGAGAAGAATACAAAAATGGCACCTCCCACTTGCAGTCTGAAGTGGTGCAGTCAAATCTACTTACTCAAGACTATACCATTCCATACTTTTGCATATATCAGACCATATCCAAGGCTAACATATGGAGCTATAATTTACAGTGGTAAAAGCACTAGGGTCACCAGGGAGCAGACTCAACTCCCACCCTACTGGTGTCCCCACTTAATAATTCTCCATAGGAATAGGTGGGATTCATATGGGAAGACCTAACATGCTTCAGGGTCTCCCATAGTGCACTGCACAATGCATTCCTCATAATAGTTCCCACAACATAGACCAGGCACCCCCAAACTCGGCCCTCCAGCTGTTTTGGGACTACAATTCCCATCATCCCTGACCACTGGTCCTGTTAGCTAGGGATGGTGGGAGTTGCAGTCCCAAAACAGCTGGAGGACCGAGTTTGGGGATGCCTGACATAGACCCTCCTCAAACACTGGTTGTCATAATGACACAGATAATGGAAGGCCCATAGCTCAGTGGTAGAGCATCTGTTTTGCATGCAGAAGATCTGAGATTCAAACCCTGGCATCCCCAGGCAGGACTGGGAAATCTTGGAGTGTCACTACCAATCATTATAGACAATACTGAGCTAGATGGACCAATGAACTGGCTCAGTGTAAGCCAGCTTCATGTCTTCCTGTCTCTTATAATTTGACATTAAAGGTCCTGACTACCTTCTTGTGGAAATGCCATTGTTGAAATAAATTTGGCACAGCTTTGCTTTCTAAGCACTTTTTTAAAAAAAACTCATGAGGGATTCTAATCATTGCTATACAGCAGTGACAACATATTTTCATCATGACTTAGCACACTGTCGTATATTATGACAGCAGCTTTCATTCTGGTATTTAGTTCCATTCTTTTCCCATTTCAATTACCTGCTCCAACAATGTGCACACAGGTCTTTGCCGTACCATTCACAGAATGTTCTCCCTCCTTCTCCTTTTCCTTCAGTAAATTATGAGCAACCAAAACATCTTATAACTGTCTCTGAGGACATCTGGATAAATAGGGTAGCCTTACATACATGTAAATCTCCTTAATCTGAGGAGAAGAAAAAAATAACTCTGCATGCTGAGGGCCTTTGGGCTGGATCGCAAGTGCAAAAACTGCTTAATCACTCTTTAGAGAAAATCAAACTCCAAAACTTCAAAAGGCCCCTTTCATATTGGCCTTCAAAGTAAGATTATTCACCAAAGGTATTTCTAGTTGAATGATTAAAACCCGCTCAAGGCCCAACCCCTGTCAGGCAATGAGTTGCTTGGAGAAGCTTGCTCACTAGTTCAGCAGCTTTCAAATGGAGTTCCTGGGAACCTTGGCGTCCCCCAGAAGCTTAGAAGAGGTTTCTTGACAAGGGGCATAAGAAAAGAAGCCTGCCCATCATTACTGAACTGCTTCGCCAAATCCTCTAGGGCCATATGGTTCAAATGGGGCAATTGCTTGGTCCATTGGACTAGGCTAATCCACTTGGGACAATCTGATTGACTGAGTCAATGATGGATTGGACTATTTACATACTGCCCTCTCATAGAATATCAGGACACTGTGGAGCAATCTAAAAACATTTTTAGAAACCCAGACACTCCAGGTGTCCCAATTTTCCAGGGACAGTCCTGGGTTTACAGAAGGAGTCCCAGTTCCTGATTTGGTCCTGGAATGTCCCACCTTTCCTTAGGACAACACTATTTTCATCAGAGAAATGTTGGAGGATTTGGAGTTATGAGGATCCCCCTCAAAGCCAAGGAGATAAGTAGTTATACAACCTTTAGAAGACATCTGAAGGCAGCCCTGTATAGGGAAGTTTTTAAAAAATGTTTAATTTTTATCATGCTTTTACATATGTTGGATGCATCCCAGAGTGGCTGGGGCAACCCAGTCAGATGGCTGGGGAATTACCGGTAATAATAAAATTCCCTATTTTCATTGGAGAAATGTTGGAAGGTATGAGAAACCAGTTAAAAGAAATACAATTAACAATCATTAAAATGACTGGCTACTCAAGGAAAATGTTAAACTGCATAGGCCTGTTGGCTTAAAAAAGCATTGAAGACATGCCTGAAAATTGAGAGTGAGGATGCCTAATGAGTCTCTACTGGAAGAGTGTTTGTCAGCATGGGACTGGTGGCACTAAACGCCCAACTTCTGTTTAAGTTTCGTCTCCATAATAAGGGAGCAAATGAGCATTGTTCCTCCAGATGGTGTCAGTGATTGGGCTGGGATTTAAAGGCTCAGGTGGTCCAGGACCCAAGTTCTTCAGGGATTTGCATATCAACACAATAGTCTTGATCCTGGTCTGGTTGCATATGGACTTCCAATGAAGGAGGGTTCACAACTTCCCGAGGGAGTCCGTTCCACTGTCAAACAGCTCTTAACTGTCAGAAAGTTATTACTGATGTTTAGTCAGAAACTCCTTTCTTGTAACTTGAAGCCAATGGTTAGAGACCTACCTTCCAGAGCAGGAGAAAACAAGCTTGTTCCCTCTTCCAAGTGATAGCTCTTGAGATATTTGAAGATGGCAAGCATATCTCCTTTCAGTCTCCTCTTTTCCAGGCTAAACATACCCAGCTCCTTCAAGTGTTCCTCCTAAGGCTTGGTTTCCAGACCCTTGGTCACCTGGGCTGCCCTCATCTGCACACGTTCCAGCTTGTCAACATCCTTCTTCAATTGCAGTGCCCAGAATTGGACACAGTATTCCAGGTGTGGTCTGACCAAGGCAGAATAGCGTGATACTATTACTTTCCTTGATCTGGACACTATACTTCTGTTGACTTGGTTCAAGGTAGCTTCTTCCATTCCCTTCCATGCTGGGAGCCAGCATGGTGTGGTGGTTAAGAGCGGTGGATTCATAATCTGGTGAACCGGGTTCACTTCCCTGCTCCTCCACATGCAGCTGTTGGGTGACCTTGGGCTAGTCACACTTCTCTGAAGTTTCTCAGCCTCACTCACCTCACAGAGTGTTTGTTGTGGGGGAGGAAGGGAAAGGAGAATGTTAGCCGCTTTGAAACTCCTTAAGGGGAGTGAAAGGCGGGATATCAAATCCAAACTCCTCCTCCTCCTCCTCTTCTATATTCCCAGACAAACTAAGGTGAGTGATTTCATCTGGATGCAACCCCAGTGTTTGTTTCTCTCCCTTGCATTTTCCTTTCCTTAGCCCCTTCCCTTCCTTCCACGACACCTTATTTGGAGGGGTGACACAACACAAAGGGCCCTGCTTCTGTTGAATAATCATGTGATCACCAAAGGAGGGTCACCTTTATCCAGGTCTCAGCTGATGATTTTTAACATATCAGCAAAGGAAAGGAAAATAAACTTGAACACATGACCACAATATTATCTCCCACAAAGTCTTAAAAATGTTTTTGTATTATTTCTATATTTTACTTCCACAGCCTCAAAACACAGCCTGATATGGCACACCTCAGATATTAGCTTCACTTCAATAACCCTAATGAAGTTTAACTTAATGAAGTAATAAATTCAGGGATGTGTGTCTGCATGCATTTGTTTCATGGATTTATTATCTGCAAATCCACAGATAAAATGCATTGGGATGAAAAGCCAAGACCCGAGAAAGATGCTGAGTATCAGAGCGTGCACTATATTCTGCATTACCAATAATTTACAGAAAGGCAGAAAAATTACGTTAGTGATTGTTTAAGACCCAGATTAATGCTTGCTAGGTGTGTCAACAGGATTAGAACAGTTTGAAAAGGGTGTTGGAGGGAGAGAGAGACAGGGGAAAGTGGTACCTGAATCTAGTGTGAGACTGTAATATAATCACACGTCTTTGTAATCTTGATGGGTGAATATGGAATTTGGAATATGGAAACCAAGCCATATGAGGAATGGTTGAGGGAGTTGGCTATATTTAGCCTGCAGGGACTGGGGGGTGAAGGTGAGCCATCTTCAAATATCTAAAGGGTTGTCACACCCACCCCTGACTTGGACATCTGTCCCAGAAGGATATCATGGTCAAGAGTATTGAAAGCCACTGAGACATCAAGGAGAATTAGCAGTGCAATGCAATGTTCTTCCATGATTGAGTCCCATTAACCCTGCTGTATGGGAATCCTTTGCAGATTATCAGAGTGCCTGGACACAGGCAGTCAGGTTGTATATCCACAGCAGTGACCACTGGGAGGAGCACAGAGAGAAGAAACGCCATGGTGCACCTGTAACAACAAAACTGAACGCCTTTCTCTGCCCCACCTGCAATAAAACAGGTCTCTCCCATGTCAGTCTCTACAGTCATAGCAGGAGCTGTAACTTTCCAACAGTTTGATTTTACCCCCAAAGACTGACTCCTCCATTGTTTCCTGAGACAGTCAAATGCCAGCTACTAAGCTCCTGGGGATATGAAAAGGAGCCACAAACTAAATTATTGGCTACTCAAAAAAAAAAAAAAAAAAAAGCATATTTCAAAGCATATTCCAGAGAATCCACGAAAAGATCCAGAACAGCAGATGAGCTTTTCTAAAAGAGAGCCAGTGTGGTGTGAGAGCCAGTGTGGTGTAGTGGTTAAGAACGGTGGACTCGTAATCTGGTGAACCAGGTTCCTCCACATGCAGCATTTGGATGACCTTGGGCTAATCGCACTTCTCTGAAGTCCCTCAGCCTCACTCACCTCACAGAGTGTTTGTTGTGGGGGAAAGGAGATTGTTTGCCGCTTTGAGACTCCTTAAGGGCAGTGAAAGGCAGGATATCAAATCCAAACTCCTCCTCCCCCTCCTCCTCCTTCTTCTTCAAGAAAGCTTGCCTTTTAATACTAACTGTATCCAGCAATGTTCAGGGAGCTTTAAAGAAAGTATTGGTGGTATTTTGAGGTCTACTCCACTTGCTAAGGGTAACAGTGAAGTCCAACAGGTCTGGCTGGGGATCTTTATGTGCATTCAAGGAGACTGCCCTGAACCCTCAGCTATGCTTGGAGCTGCCGCTGTAGAGGTTATGGAGCTCCTCTGCAGACTGATCTATTGGGAAGGATTATATAAAAGCATAGGGTGAGGAACCTTGGGCCTGTAGCCAACATGTGGTTCACAGGTTCTCTATTTGGCCCTCAGAACTCTCCCTGGCTCTACCGTTCACCAGTTCTCTTCTGAACTTTTGCTAGGATGTGTCATTCCTCTGCTGGAAAGTGCCACTAACTGTGATGCTGGCTCCTGCCTGCTTTTGATGGAGGATGGAAATATTGATATTATTAATATAGTGCATGTAGAGCTGCTGGAATTTATTGTTGTTGTTGTTGTTGTTGTTGTTATGAGTAGCTCTTGTATTGAAATGGACTCTTGTATTGAAATAAAAAGACACACAAAAAAAATCTCAGCACACTAGGTTTGAGACAACATGATTATGAAAGACTGCACATGAGAAATGGATTTAGTATTTATAAGAGAAGACAGAGGTGCTATCTGTGAGGAGGAAAATACAGCTGGCTGAAACAATGAGTAGGACAACGAGTAATGGTTGAAATGGGAATTAAAGATGTGAAGATGTGGGGAGAGGAGGAAGAGATAGACATATGTTTGCAACAGGAGTGG